TATTCTGGGGACAGGCACTGTAGGACAGGAGAAACATTTCCTGGTTCCCCTAGACCTGCCGGGAAGTCCTCAAACTCCAGGCCCGTTATTGGAAGGCAGGGGCCTTTGGAGGCCAGTCACTTTTGCCAAAGCACAATCTTCAAATGTAAAAAGCACTGTACTCATATAAATTGTTACTGAGCATGTGTTGCAGTTTTCTGTAAGTTATTCATAAGGGAACCAGTGGGGCAGCAAAGCTGGTTCAGAGAAAACTAAGAGAAATTTACACATAAATATGAAGAGGGGCAGAGGAGAAGAAAAATAGAAAGGAGATGCAAGAGAATACATTAAAAATGCTGGAATAGCTGGGCGTGGTGGCACATGCCTGTAATTGCAACACTCAGGAGGCTGAGGCAGGAGGATCTTTGCGAGCTCAAGGCCAGCCTGGGCTACAAAGTGAGCTTAAGGCCAGCCTGAACTGCACTGTGAGACCCTGTCTCAAAAAGACAAAAAAAAAAAAAAAAAGGAAAATTTTTTTAAAAAGAAAAAGACTGCCAAGTTGCATATAAAGCTAGATAATGTCCACAGGACCATGGTAGCTGTAACCTTTAGGGATAGTTTCTCTATTGAACAAAAATTATTTATCTCTTCTAACAAATATCGATTGCCTCATCAATTTTTGGCACATTAGCCCCTAGAGCAGTGATGGTGAACCTTTTAGAGACAAGTGCCCAAACTGCAACCCAAAACCCACTCATTTGTCTCAAAGTGCCAACACTGCAATTAAACCTGAATACTGACATTTTAGTTTAGAAAAAGCAACTCATACATTAACATCTTTTGTTTTAAAAGAAAAACAACACATGTGCCATAGGTTCCCCACCACTGCCTTGGAGAATCTCAGGTAGTTTTATTAGCATAACACCCTACAGCAGTGTTGCCTAGTATAAATATAATGCAAGACACACATGGAAGATTAATTTTTCTAATTGTCATATTTTTACATATAAGAAGAAACAGTAAGATTGGTTGTGATAATACTTTATTTAAACTACTCTAAAATATTGTTTCAATATGTAATCAATACAAAAAATTGCTAATGAGTTATATACTTTTTTCTAAGTCTTTGAAAATCCAATGTGCATTTCATACTTAGAGCACATCTCAGATTGGGACTAGCCACATTTCAAAGGTTCAGTGCCACATGGGGCTAGTGGCTAGGGGACTGGCAGCTCTGGAGCAGCGTCCTCAGGCTTAAGGCCATGTGAGAATCACCTGGAAGACTTAAGAGAACACAGATGTGTGGGTCACACCTCAGCAGTTTGGATTGAGCAGGTCTAAATTGGACCCGAGTGTCTGCATTTCTAGCAAATTCCAGGGCTATGCTGCTACTGCTATTCTTGGCCTCATACTTTGAAAACTGCTCTTTCAGGATAACTTTGAAAAGAAGCACAGTGGTCCTTTCTGCCTGATTTCCAGGTTGTGGATAATTGTCTTTGAACCTCTCTATCTGGCAAGTGGCAGTAGCAGAAGGCTGTCGGGAGGATATTTGTACTGGCTCAGCCTCTGACGGGAGCACCCTTGTGGACCCCCCCCCCCCCCGCTGGTGGTGGGTGTGAGTGCAGCAGCCTCATTGGTGGCCTTGCCTGTGTGCTGGCTGTGCTGGGGTTCCCAGAGAGGAGGAAAAGAGACTCTCAACACCCCTTGGCAGGCCCAGGCCTTGTACTGGCTGCTTCCTACTCATCTCTCTGTGGGTGATGCCAAGCAGGATCCAAAACTACAGGGCTAGTTGGGCATGGTGGTGCATGCCTATAATCCCAGCACTTGGGAGGCTGAGGCAAGAAGATTGTTACAAGTTCGAAACCAGCCTGGGCTACAAAGCGAGCTCAAGGCCAGCCTGAACTGCATAGCGAGACCCTGTCTCAAAAAGACCAAAAAAAAACACTTCAGGGCCTAGGGGCAGGCCCACAGGAATAAGGCCCTTGCAGGGTCCTAGCTCTCTCAGGGAGTGGTGGCCTCTGAAGGCTAGAATGACCAGAAAAGGCTGGTCAGAGAAGACATGAGAACTGGTTTAGACCAGAGGACAGATAGGATCTGTACTGGAGAAGAAAAACATGAGAGACCTGCTAAGTAAGGGCTGTGGAAGGGCCAAGGAGGCTGGACCCTAGAGGAGACTGCGGCCTTGAGGGGCTGGGAGGGAAGGATACTCCAGAGGCAGGGCTGGGAGGCACCATCAATTGCTCCTGTCCTGGTCCTGGATGCAGAAGGACTCTCACTAGGTCACACAGATCCCAGTCCCATCCCAAGAGCTATTCCTATTGATTCTATAGCAGAGGGATTGGGTATAGTGGGCAGGTGTGGATGTAAAGGAAGGACATACCATCTTTTGGGGCACCCTATGCTCACAGCAGTCCCAATGGCATCCAAGGGTTAGCAGCATTAAGCCCCTTGAGACAGGGTTGTGTCCCACCCTGGTGAGTTTCCTGCCTTCTGCACCTAGTAAAGGATCAAGCATGTTGAATACTGAACTTAAATGAATTGGCCTGCATTGTACTTGTGCTTAGTCACATAGTGTACTCTACGTCATAGATGAGCATGTCTTAGTCACTTTCCTGCCACTGGGACAAAATGCCTGACACCCACAACTTAAAGGATGAGACATGTATTTTCAGTCCATGGGTGGCCAGCTCCAAAGAAAAAACGGCATGGCAGAGGGGTGTGGCGGAGGAGAAACTGCTTACCTCATGGCAGCCAGAAAGCAGAGAGCAAAAAGGATAGCTGGAGACAGAGCTTGCTCTTCAGGTGGTGTCCCCAGTGACCCCTCTCTTCAGACCAGGCCCTGCCACCTAAGACCAAGTCAGCTGTAGCACCCCATAGTTCAGCTATCTTTTAAAAGCCATATCTATGAGCATGAGGCTTTGGGAGGACATCAGTATACAATCCCTAACAGATATGTGGTGATACTGTGGTTATGGGGCTGTCTGCACTATGGGGTGGCCTAAGGGGTATAGGAGGTGATTATTGTGGCATAATGTGAGATAGATGGAGTGCCTACACTGTGCATGTATACAAGTACTGGGGGCCTTGGAGGTGTCTGTACCTTGGGGTGACCTATAGGGGTATAAGTGGTGTCTATACTCTGGTGACTACTGTTCGGAGGCGTATGAACTATTTGCACTACAGGGAACCCTGTAGGAGTGAGTGGAATGTGTGCACTGGATATGCACTGTTTGGAATCTTATGGGGTTTCTGCTCCCCAGGATGCTCTATAGGTGTATACACGGTCTGTACTATGTGAAGCTATTTCCTGGGGGGTGACCACCATAGACAAAAAGGTACATTGATGTGATATCTCTGTGGAAAGGTATATAAAGGGCCTTCCAGGGGGTCTCATTCAGAGGGATCTGATGGGTGCTGTGGACAGAGACAGAGCCTTGGGCAGCATCTCCGAGAGAATGTCCGCCACCAGCTCCCCATGAGGGGCTGTCCCCTGTGGACACCTCTGCTCCAAGGCAGGTCCCTACTCTTCCCAGCACTTGGGGACCTACTTTTGGGGATCTAGACTTTCACAACTTATACTGAATCTTCCTTTGAACATGAATTCTATATGTGCAGACTTTGGAGGCAACTCTGGTGAAAAAATAGATGCCACATTTGAGTATATAAATAGTACATATGTAACCACTGCACATAGTAGTTAAGAGTCTCATCCATTCTTTACTCTAGTACCCACTATGGTAAAAAATCCCTTCCAAATGGGTGGGGGTAACATGAGGAGTTCATGCAGTGGCCCAGGAGGCTGTCCCAAATACCAGGACCCACCACAGACTTTAGTCTAGCACTCTACAGCTGAAAAGGTGCCCCGCAACAAAGCTCACAGAGTCCCATGGGGGCTAAGGCAGACACTGATAGTATTCTGAGTTTCTTAAGTATATCTGCCAGAGTATTGTCCGTGGCTACCGTACTGGTGGGTGACAGACCAAGACCCCCCTCTCCCCACCCACTGCCTGTTAGGACAGGAGGACCAAGTGTATCTGTGTTTGTACAAAAAGCAGCCTCATCACTGCATATACTACACTGCTTTTCTATTACTGAATGTGAAAAGGAAGATAGTCACTCCATATCTGTATCTGTAGACACCATGTTATGTAGTGGGTACATGCTCTGTGCATTTAGGTCTTGCTATGGGTATAATGGATATAGACTGTGTGGAGGGGGCTCTGCTGGGGGGTTCTGCTGTATGGGAGAGCTGTACTGTATCTCCAGTGACTGTATTTTGGGTTATACACAATATAAAACAGTGTATCAATGTATGTATGCCATGCTCTGGGATGGGCATAGAGCAGATGTAGACTCACATATGGTTACTACACCATATGTATGAGATGATTATAGGCTGTGTGTGGAGTATACACTGTATATACTTGTGTGAGTGCTATTTTGTGAGTTACACTATACAAGTATATACAGCATCTGTGATGGATATGTTTTTGATTCGTGTACATTGCACAGGTGATAGGTCTGTCTGCTCTGAAGGAGAGAGATGATGTGTGACTGATGCACTGTGTGTGTGATGGGCTCATACAGTGACAGATATAGACAGTGTGTGATGAGTTTACACTGAATAAGTGTGAACACATGCTACATGTGGATATACATTATACGAGTGATGGGTATGTTGGATATAATTTGTGATTAATATGTGCATATACTTAGTATATACAATATACGATGAATATGTGTTGTGTGGGTGCAATAAAATATGCACTTTGTAGTCTACATAAGGAGCACTGTGTGGTCTACATAAGGTCATCGTGGCAATACTCTAGCGAGGTAGTCCTTGTGGTGGGCCTGCTTAGTGTGTATCAGGAACCCTGTGTGTACACAGCTCATGATGGGAATATGGGGTAAGCACACAGAGGGGAGTCACTCCGATGGGAGGGGGCATGGCAGGAAACTGTTGATCTTCATCTATTTCCAGAACCCCCTGTCCCTTGAGCCTACCAACCCCACTGTTTCAGGTTCTTCCTCAAATTCTTCCTCAAATGCAACCAGAACTGCCTGAAGAATGCAGGGAATCCCCGAGACATGCGCCGCTTCCAGGTGGGTTTGGGGAGAGGCTCCCCCACAAACCCGTCCTTCTCTGACAGGAAGGGGGAGGGGAGGCTGAGCCCCTGCCAGGGCACATCCCTGCCCAGCCCGGTGCCTCCAAGGCCTGGTGCCCGCTGGGGGTGGGGCAGCTCCATCTCAACTGATGCTGGCTGCCAAAGGAGGCTTCATTAGAGCCCCACTTAAGAAGATGCTAATTGTGACATTTTTACATGATTAACGACCCAGGTAATTTGCATAGTGTGAAGCAGAGAGCAGCTGCCCTTAGCACATCGCAGCCCGCACACCCCTCCCAGTGCCAGGGGTAGTGGAAGAAGGCAGTCCCAACTTCCTTGCCAGAACAGGGTGGGGCTCCTGCTAATGGGTTCTCCAGCTGATGCTACCCCCCACCCCATCCCTTGCCCAAGACTTCCTTCCTGCCTTGAAGCCCAGGGGATACAGCCTGGTGTTCCTCTGTGTCCACCAATAGTGGCCACTCTTTCCCCTAAATAGCCAGTTTTTTCCACGGCTTTTAATTTTCTCGCTCTTGGGATGTCAGTTCATCTCGGAGTGTCACATAGTGCAGCTGACCCCAGTGCTATCAGCTCTATCCCAGGAAGCTGAAGCCGCTTCGGCAGGCCTACCCTCTCCTCTCGAAGCTCATCAAGCCCCACGCCATCCCAGCATCCAGCCACCTACCTCAAGTTGCTAGTTCCCTACCACAGTACCTTTCCGAGAGGCCCCGCGGCCCCGGCCAGATCAGCCTTGGTTCTCCCCACAGGTGGTGGTGTCTACAACGGTGAGTGTGGATGGACACGTACTGGCTGTGTCGGACAACATGTTCGTGCACAACAATTCCAAGCACGGCCGCAGGGCCCGCCGACTGGACCCTTCGGAAGGTCAGACCCCCAGCCCAGCCCTGGCCAGCCCTCAGTCCCCACTTCATTGTGGTCCCTTGACATGGGTCTTTTCCTGCCTCCCAGCTGCCACCCCGTGCATCAAGGCCATCAGCCCTGGGGAGGGCTGGACCACGGGAGGTGCCACCGTCATTGTCATCGGCGACAACTTCTTCGATGGGTTGCAGGTCGTGTTTGGAAACATGCTCGTGTGGAGCGAGGTGGGCCATCCCCGCCAGTCTCCCTCCGGGCCTGGGGTCTGGGGCCAGGCCCTCCCCATGGGACGGGACCTGCAGGCCTACCCTCTCCCCTCGCAGCTCATCACGCCCCACGCCATCCGGGTGCAGACGCCCCCGCGGCACATCCCCGGGGTGGTGGAGGTGACCCTCTCCTACAAATCCAAGCAGTTTTGCAAGGGAGCCCCCGGCCGCTTTGTCTACACAGGTAAGGAATCAAGCTACGGAAGGGAGGCCCCAACCTAACCCAGTTCTGAGCGGTTCAAATTCCGCGGTTGGCCACGCCCCCAGGGGGCGGTGCCTTGCATGCAGGGTAGTCTGTGCCCACTCCTGGCACTGGTCCTTCCTTTCCTGGCCTCCTTCTATATTTCCCTCCCTGGCCCTTGGCTCCTCAGACCTTTCCCCAGCATTCTCTCTGCCTTGGGCCTTTTCACCAGGGCATCTCTCCCATCTCCATCTCCAGAGTTAGAACCTCGCCAAGGAACTGTTAACTTCAAAGATGCTACCAAATGGGCTCGTTTCTTCCTAAATCTTCCCTGGGTCTCTTGGTTCCCTCAGGCAACCCTAGGCCTCACTCTGCGCGCACACGCATGCACATACACATAAACACTCTTGCTGGACCAGGGCGAGCAGTTAACACAAGACACGCAGAGTACCGCGGACTCTCCGCGCACTCCCACCCCCATTTAGCCCGTGGTGCCCGGGATCTTCACCTCCATGCTCTTGCTTCTCCCCTGACCTCCCGCCTCACCCGCCCACAGAAGTACTAGCAGAGGGTACCCGACACCTACCCGACTTACTCAGGAAGCTCGGGTGTAACCCGGGAAGGCTGTGCTAGCAGAGTAGGGTGGGTGGAGTTACAGCGTCTCAGAGTTTGACCGGCCAGAAATCCCCTGCCAATAAGTGGTGGGCTGAGCTGGGCTGAGCTGAAACTGGAGGTACAGTGGGATCCGGAAAGCGGGTGCGGTGCGGTGCGTTCGCGGGCGAAAAAATGGCCAATGCAAAGACCCCGCAGTGAGCGCTTTAGCTTTGGGGGAAACGAAAGAAAATTTACTAAACGTGGAGTTGGAAGTGGAAGAGGTAGGTGAGATTGGTGGATTAGGTCCATGCCACGCTATCCAAAGAGAACAGGGGGTTGGGACGGGGAGGAGTGGGGAGAAGACGGGAAAGAAGAGGAAGGCGCAGAAAGCAGGCTGGAGGCCGCTGCAGTCCTCCTGAGGTGGGCCAGTCCCTTTCCTGGGGTGCATACAAACGCCCTACCCTCAGATGCTGTTCAGAGTCCACTGAGCCATGATAAATGGAGATTGTTGGTTTTTTATCTTTCTTCTTTATAAACTCCTAACATGACCAAATGCAAACAGAAAACTCTCCCTCGAGTCCTGACCCTAGGAATATAGGATTCCCTCACCCTGCACAAGTGGGATTGTATAGTGAGTGCATGCGTGTTGATTCCAAGTGCCTGGCACGGAGCCTGGCTCAGTAGATATTTATTGAATGAATTTAAAAAAGGAACTGAGGAAACTTCTCTGAACCTCGCTGATCCGTGTGCTTGGGGTTTTCCGCGGGACTTGAGCTTGGCTTGGAGCCGGGCACCTGCAGCGGGGCTCCTGGACTGGTGCTTGCGTACTTTTTGCGCTGCGTCCTGCTCTGGGAGGGGCGACCTCCAAACACTGCCCTCTTCCCAGCTCTGAATGAGCCCACCATTGACTACGGCTTCCAGAGGCTACAGAAGGTCATTCCCAGACACCCTGGGGACCCTGAGAGGCTTCCCAAGGTATTCAGAGGGGCGGGACGGGGATGCGCGTGTCCCTTGGGCAGGGGCAGCGGGGCGGTGAGGGCGGGATTGAGGAGGGCCTCGTGGGGATCCTCCTGCTGCCCTCAGGGTCTGTCCCTCCGTCCCACTGTCTCTCCTCTGCCCTCAGGAGGTGCTGCTGAAGCGGGCGGCCGACCTGGCGGAGGCCCTGTACGGCGTGCCCAGCAGTAACCAGGTAGGACGCCTCCGCCTGCCTCCCAGTGCCCGGCCCGCGGCTGCTCCCTCCGGCGCGCGGCTGCCCCGGCCGTGCCCCGCTCTTTTCTCCGCAGGAGCTGCTCCTGAAGCGCGCGGCGGACGTGGCCGAGGCTCTGTACAGCGCCCCTCGGGCTCCCGCTCCGCTCGGACCCCTGGCCCCCGGCCACGCGCACCCGGCCGTTGTGGGCATCAATGCCTTCAGCAGCCCGCTGGCCCTCGCCGTGGGGGACGCCACGCAGGGTCCTGAGCCGGGTGCGTCCCTCTCCGCCCCCGCAGTCCCCAGCCACCTCCGCAGTCCCCAGTGGACCGCCCTGCCCACCTCCGCCGCTGCCTGACCCGCTCTCCCTCCCGCAGGCTACGCGCGCAGCTGCAGCAGCGCATCCCCGCGCGGGTTCGCGCCCAGCCCTGGCTCGCAGCAGAGCAGCTACGGCGGTGGCCTCGGAGGCGGTCTTGGCAGCTACGGCGCACCAGGCGTGGCCGGGCTCGGGGTGCCCGGGTCCCCGAGCTTCCTCAACGGTTCCACCGCCACCTCGCCATTCGCCAGTGAGTGTCCCCGCGCGCACAGAGGGGAGGAACAGAACGGGCCGGGGTATGGACTCTGCGCGTGCCTCGGGACCATGACTTTGGCCTTGCAGTCCGGGCAAGCACAGCCCTTGCTATACTTGACCTCTCCCAGCCCTTGCACGCCTCGGGAAGACTCAGGGCCTGGGGCCAGGACACTTCTTACCGACTGCGTGGTACACAACGTTTGTACCCCTCCCACCGTCCGGGAGCCAGCTTTAAATTGAAGGGCCTAGCTGAAACCCGGGGGGCGCCTCTTTCCACTTCACACGGGGGCTTTGGGAGGAGCCTGGCGCCCCCTGCTGAAACCCTAGAGAAACTCAGGGATTTGAGAAGCAGGCTCCGGCCCGGGGCTATAGCTCAGTGGCACAGTACCTGCTTGGCAAGTGTGTGGTCATGAGTTCGATTCCTGGTACCAAAAAAAAAAAAATCTCTGTGGTGGGAGAAGCAGGCTAGCTGGCGCCACGCCCCAAACGATCAGCACGCGTGGTCCTTGGATGTGGCTGCCCGCAGGACCACCGGGCAGCAGAGTGACCAATCAAATTCTGTGTGGCCAGAGCTGGATTCAGCGTTTCAGTGTCGAAATCAGAGGCTGGGGGCTGGGGATTTAGCTCAGCGGCAAAAGCGCCTGCCTGGCATGCGCAAGGTCGTGAGTTCGGTTCCCGGTACCCGAGAAAAACCAAAAAAAAAAAAAAAGAAAAAAAGAAAGAAATCAGAGGCTGTCTAACACTCAGCAAATTACTGTACTTGTTGAAGTTCAGTTTCTTAGTGGATCGGTACCAGCGCGCGCGCACACACACACACACACACACACACACACACACCAGAGAGGTTGTCAAATCTGAATGTCCCACTGTGCAGAAAAAGCCAGACAAAATTCAGAAAGATGGTATGATTTCACAGGCCCAGCCCCGATTGTAGGTGCTAACCAACTCACTCTGGCTTCTTGGAGTGAGGCAGCTCAGAACTGGGTGGATGGGCAAGGTCTGGATTTCATGGGTGAGTGACATCTATAACTACTTCGATGCTTTGGTGTTTTACGCTGCCTTCCAGTTCCTTCCAGACATTTACAATACACCTGTTGTGTGCAAAGCACTGGGTTTGGGGAATAATTGCACCCTTTCACACCTGCGAGGTCTCCCTATCAGTCATAGAGAAGCTGTCCTCCTAGTCCCAGGAGACCACTGAGCCAGAGAACTGGGAGGCTGCCCAAGAAAGACCTGGTGGTGGCCTTGCCTGCATTTCCCTCAACTCCTCCCTGTCCTGTGTTTGCCATTGCTAAGAATAGAGCTGCCTAGCCACCTACATAGTGGTCCTCAATGGGTTTATGTCCTGGGTGCTGTTTTTTCTGGTTAAGGGCTTGAGCCTGGCACTCTTCTGAGCTGGATTTAAATTCTGGAGACCAAGGCCCCGTATGCCAGAGTCCATACAGCCACAGCCCACTGGTATCCTTCACCACTTCTCTGAGTTTCCCTTGGGTTTAAATCTTTCCCTAGAACACCTCTCCTTGCCCACCTGTACACAGTGCAGTCAGCAGTAAGTAGACATGGCCCCAGGGTATGGAAGCTAGTCACCTGGGATCTCTCCATTCAGGAAGATAAGAATTCCAGTACATCAGAAGGATCAAAGTGAATTCAAGGCCACCCTGGGCGAGTGAGTTCAAGGATGACTTATAATACAGTGTGAGACCCTGTCTCAGAAAACAAAAAACAAACAAACAAAAACTCCAGTGTCTCTTATGACCTGCTTCCTGCATCAGCATCAGCCTGGACATGCCTGAGGGCCATTACCAACCCATAATACTGTTTGACCACTGCTTGCCTAGGTCCCCATCCACTCCCTATGTGCAGGATGCTTTGTGGCATGTCGTCATGGGATATCATTCTCATTGAGTTTCTGGGACATTCCTGGAGTGACGTCAGAACTGTCCCAGCCAGGGGGTCTGGGACTGTCTGGTTCTTTTGTCTTTTGCATCAGTTATCATCAATCCTGGAATGAACCATAACTCCCAGCATTCTCCAAGCTACAACATGTGGCAGGAGAGATACAATATATTTCCCAGCACTGGTCTTCCTTCGGGCTCCATGCCCCTACTAGCAATGAGAATTGTCCTAAAGGAGATGCCAACCCTGGGACAGAGGACATTGGGAAGAGGACAGGTGTTGAAGGCATCACTGTATCAAGGTCATGGTGGGATGCCAAAGGCCCCTTCCCAAGCTACAGGATTCTTCCAGGAAGTCCCACTGCCTGTTGCCTGCTACTTGGACAACACACACACCACAGCCTTACTGCTGTTTAGAAGAGAGAGGCTGGGAATTGGGTTCAGATGGGGACAGAGAGGGATGGGATCCAGAGAGTCCCAAGCAGAAACCCTCAGGAGCAGAGGCTTAGGAAGGGCAAGCAAAGCCTGTGCACAGAGAGCTTCCTTGCTGTTCCTGGCAGAGCATGCCACAGCCCTGAATGGCCATGAAGGTGGAGAACAGGAAGCGTTGAGGATGTAGATCCCTCAGTTTTCTTTAAAATTAATGAGCTGTAAGAGGGAAATACTGGAGGCTTCCAGGGTCCAGACTGGAATGACAAGAACTTACATTAAACTGGAAGGAAATAAAGTGTCCAGAGAAAGAGAATAGAGAGACAGAGTGTGGGTGATACTGGAAAGAGTGGAGGGATTTAGGATGCTTGTGTGAGCTATGTTTGCTCCCGAGCAGAGAAGCCTTATAACAAGAACCTGTATGGATCCCAGGTTCTGTCCCTGACTACTTGCCCCAGCTCTGTTGTGATCTCTGAACTTTGACTCTAGCCCTTGAACCCCATAAATGTTTCTTAGCATCTCAAATCCCAGTGGTTTTCAGCAGGAATCCTAACCTGTTCATCTGTCATCTTCAGGGCTCGCACTCCTGCTTGTTTTTTGTTTTTTGTTTTTTGTTTTTTGTTTTTTTCTTAATTCCTGCTTGGTTTTGTTGGGTGCTCTGGTTTTGCTTTTATTTTGACCAAGTCTAGCCCTGTCATCTCCACTTCCAAGAAAAGGTACCCAGAACTCCCAAGAAGGCAAGAGCCGGCCCAGGACCCATGGGCTCTCAGCCTACCTCCTGGCCCTGTCCTGTACTGGTCTCTTCTGACCCTTGCAGCCCCAGGGAGGTCTCAGCCTAGTGCTTGCCCAGCAGCCCATGCAGGGCCACAACCCCGCTGCTCACGCTGGTGCTGTCTCCCTGTTGTGTCTCCTGCCTGCCCTGCTGCCCCTTCCCCTCTCCGCCCCGCCCCGGAGTCATGCCCTCTAGCCCCCCACTGGCGGCTGCCTCCTCCATGTCCCTCCCGGCTGCTGCTCCCACCACCAGCGTCTTCTCCTTCTCGCCTGTCAACATGATCTCCGCTGTCAAACAGAGGAGCGCCTTCGCGCCTGTGCTGCGCCCACCCAGCTCCCCACCCCCGGCCTGCCCCAGAGCCCACGGAGAGGGGCTTCCAGGTGAGTGGTGCATGCTGCCCCACAGTGGTCTGGGGGAGAGGCCATGGTGGAAAATCTGGGATTCAGGGGCTCATTTCATCTGCATCATCCCAACACCTCAGGCTAGGTGACCAGCTTGCCCCAGAGGGCCCAGTAGGAAGCTCTGCAGGCTCCGAGGGAAACCACTGGGGCTCCCTTCCCCTCAGCCTCACGCAGGGAGTAGGCAGTACTCTGGATGCTTTCATTTGGCCACTTGATGAAAGGGAAGGAGACCGAAAATCCAGCTGGAAAAGATCTGGAAACCACAACACACCCTCATGCAGTCATGCAGAGCGGAGACTCAACTCAGGCTGGAGGAAGCCACACTTGCTGTGTGCCTTTTTCCTGTGTCCCGCTATGTCCACCAGAGGGTAGCACACTGCTGTGAGTTGGCTCACTCCGAATGAAAGGGGATTGCCGTTAGATAATCTAAGTTTAGCCCAGTTCCCTCTCCCCCATTTTACAGGTTAGGAATTAAAACTAACTCATTCGTCTGTGTTACAGTATAAATGACATGGCTGTCCTTGCACACCCATGCAGCCAATCCTTTTAGCCAGCAGAACTTTCCCATCCAAGTGGCCCTTGGAAACTTTCTAGCAGACAGAGGGAGAGACTGTGGGGAAGGAGATGGAGGCAGCCAAATGTCCCAGTTGCCAGGGCTGGTTGGGGGCAGAGCTAAGTGATGGTGTCTTCCCTGAGAGGCTTGCAGATGTTTCTCTGTTGGCTGTGGAGTTGTCTCTAGGGGATCTCAGTCCAGAACATAGCATGTAGCTCAGTACCTGGCACACAGTAGATGCTAAATAACTAGTGGTTTGTTTAATTAAGGAGTCAGAAAAACTCCCTTCAAGCCCAGAAGCAGAGGGCTGCAGTGCAGTTGGTTGGGGTAGAGCATGCCCATTGGACATCCCCCCGGACAGCAATGGATAGGTATTATTAGGAAAGAAGCAGCATTCAAAAAGGTAAATGGCCATGTTACTAAGGATTTTATTCAGAGCCTTTGATTTGCTAGGATATATTGTGACTCTTCTAGGAAAAAGAAGTTATCAATTTATTTGAACATAAAATGTGTTTTTCAAAGAGCATCTTGAGAGTTGCTCCTGGGGAGGCCCTGAAGGCTGAAAAAGAGACATCCTCGTGGTTTCCTCAGCCGGAAGTGAGCTTCTGTGACCAGGATCTAGTCATAGGGCCTAAGCCAGTGCCTTGGGCCCTCAAGTTATCTCTGGATCCAGGGCAGGGCCAGATGGGGCAGCTCCCATGGAAAGGCTAGGCAGGAGTAGTGAGGAGTGCCCTGTGGAGCCTCTGTGGCCCTAGGTCCCTGTATGAGAGGGTTCAGGGACAGTGTAGGCACCCCTCATCTTTCTATTGCAGTGGTGGCCCCTGGCCAGGGCGGGGGGTGGCTGACAGCCTTCAGGAACTTCTGTGTGCCCAGCCTGTTGTCTCCAGCCCAGAGAAGGACAGGAAAGTAAGGTGATCAGGCTACCCAGGGCTGATGGCCCCTTTCTCCTTGACCCCAGATCAGCCTTTTGAGGACTCTGACAAGTTCCATTCTCCGGCCCGGGGGCTTCAAGGCCTGGCATACTCCTAATTACGGTAGGTCTCTGGCTGGTTCTTGCCTCCTATCCTCACCCTGAAATGGGTTCCTTTCTCCAAAAGGGCTTAGCAGGAATGAGAAGTTGTGGTCCAGGCCTCTCTCCCTGGGGTCCATCTAAATAGCAGTCGGAGGCACATGGCCGACCCCAGTGGCCCAAGCTGAATGATGGAGAGAAGTGGCTTTCTGTCCCCTTGCAACCAGCCTTCCTCCAGGACCTTCTTCTCCCCTCTCGCCACCAGGTCTGCAAGTGTCGCCCCCACTGAGCCCAGACTGGAAGATCCTGCAGGACTCATACCCATGCCCTGGCTGATGGCACAAACATACAGGGCCAGTGCTGTGGGCAGACCTCAACCCCTGGACCAAATGGGAGAGGAACCCTCTGTGCTCAAGGTCCCCTCAGCCCCTGCAGGCTTCTCTCACCTCTCTCTCTTGGGGCTGCCAGGAGCCCCGGCACTGTGCTGACGCTCTTGGCAGAAGAGTGTCCCAGGGAGGTGCTGGGAGGCCAGGCCTCCCTCGCTGGGCTGGTTCCTCTGGAAGAGGTAGATTTTGTGCATACCAGGAAGGGGATGCGAGGGGAGCATGGGATCGGGACCATGGGAAAGAGGACAGCTCAGGGAGAGGTGACCTGGAAAGGTCCTGGTTGCACCTGGCCCATCTCAACTGACCCACCATCCCAACTTCTCTCCAGTGGAAAGGGAGGTGCCCAGCAGCGTCAGAAGGCCATCCAGGCTCCCATGGAGCTTCCAGTAGTTGCTGGACCACGTGGCCGCCCCCCATTCCTTCAAGTCCTGCACACTCATGCTTGCCACATCATGCCTTTTTGTGGGGGCCTCGGCATGAAGGATGCAGAAGCGGGGGTACCAGGACTTCTTGCCTGGGGGGCTTCCCCCCAGGGGATGTCTCATGAACTCTGGCCCCATGCACAAGCAGACTCTGGTTGGCCCCATGAAACTGTGGCCTCACATTCTGCTCTGCTAAGTCTGGAGAAAACAACAATAAACCAGATGCAGGCGGCCACCTGGCCTCTCTTGCCTGCTTCCTTGGTGTGGGACTGCTTCTCTCAGTGGCCCTGCAGCTCTCACAGGGGCCCCCTCAGCTTCTCGCACCTTGGGCTTTGTAGACAGTCTCAGAGTTGAGCTGACTGGCTGTTTCCTGCCCTGTGTCTACTCTTTGGTCCTGTGTGTTGGAGGGGAATAGACTAATAAGCCTGAGGACCCAGGAAATGGGTTCAGCTCCCAGAGCTATGCATGGGGACACAATGAGACCATGGAGGACTCCGTCCCCTACATGTCCATCCAGGACCAAGATGGGGGTTGTCAGCAAGACATTGCTGGGAACCAGGACAAAGCAGGTCAAAAACTACCCAGATGTACAGAGATCCAGAAGTAAGATCCAGACTCAGGCTAGAAGCCCTTAACTGGGTTTGGTGGGACAGCTTCTGGCTCCCAGGAGCGTCCCCTCAAACACACTCCAGCCCTTCATGCTTCCCCCCAGGCGCCCTCTGGCTCTCCTGCTTCAACTGGAAAGGAGGATGTTAAAGAAAATTGCTAGGCCCATTCACTCACCCCACCCCAAAAGAATCCCAGTTACCCCCATTCGTTTTGTTACTGGGCAAAGGTCTGGCTGTCTTTTTTGACTCACTACTCATTGGGCTAAGGGTCCAGCCTGGACCTCAGTATTTCTTTCTTCTTCCTGGCACTTCTAGACTCTGACTTTCAGAAACCCCATCTCTCCCAACCAGTGTGTCCATGCCGTGGGACAAACACTGTTGCCAAGGCAGATGGGCTGGTCCTGTCCTTCAGGGGACCACTTCTTTCTCTGGTATTCTTAGCCAACACCCAGAGTTCCTCTCACCTGGGACTCATGACAGAAAGTTGTCCTGCCTCTGGTTGTTGAGCCCTATTCCCAGCGCTTGCATGGCCTCCTCATCAGTTCTGGCTGCACAAACTGTGTTCCACTCAGCTCTGAGCACTTCCACTGCCCAGGGCCCTCCCAGCCTGAGCCCTGCACAACTCTAGTCTGCACTGGACATAGTGGTAAGTGGATGGTGGTCACACACTGGTTCCTGGGATGAGACAAGTGTCATGATCAATATTAATGAGACATGATATCTGTCCACAATGATCCCACCATATTGTGTAAGCTACCATTTGAGTCAACGCTGCCTTCTCTCTCATCCATACACAAAAAAAATTCCAAGTAGATTGTAAATCCAAATGTGCAACCTAAGACAATAAAACTTCATGCCCCTGAAGATAGATAGAAGCTTTTGGGGCAGCTTGAGCTCTAGGTCTGTTTCCTCATCTTCAGGGCCCATTTTGAAATGCAGCAGGCATTGGACATCCTTGAGGTGCTTCAGATGAACCCCCAGATCTCTATTCTGTAGAATAACTTTTCAAATAGGTAAATGGTGAGAGTTGATAGTGTCTGTCTCCCCAAGAAGAGACAGGTTCTTCACAGCGACTCTGAAGTCATAACTGCTTAGCTTGGTGTAGCCACCCTCCCTCACCCTATCCTCACCTTTGCAGTTCTGTCCTCTGCTACCAATTCAGTGGCAATAACAACAACCACATGGGCAATTCCCACGGAAAGGAACGAACCACCTCCTTGGAGCTACCAGCCTGAAGTCTAACTTTTACAAGAAGACTCTCAGGGCTGGGGATTTAGCTCAGCGGCAAAAGTGACTGCCTGGCATGCGCAAGGTTGTGAGTTCGGTTCCCGGTACCAGAGAAAACCAAAAAAAAAAAAAGAAGACTCTCAAAATAAGAGTCCTGATGGGTGTGTGGCACTGGCCACATATGTGGCCCTCAGATCCTTCTGTCTTTTTTCCATGCTCCTTTCTCTTTACTCGGCATGGGCTTTTTTTTTTTTTTTTTTTTTTTTTGGCAAAGTATGGTAAATATAGTGTAAATTTTCAGGGGTTTTTTTTTTCTGTATGGCTGGTACTTGTATCTTTTTGAGATATCTTTACCTACCCCAAAGTCAAGAAGATTCCCCGCCCCCTGCTTTGGCTTTTTGAGACAAGGTCTCACTATGTAGCTCAGGCTGGCCTTGAGCTCACTTTGTAGCCCAGGCTGGTCTTCAACTCACAACTGTCCTCCTGCCTCAGCTTCCTGAGTGCTGGGATTACAGGCGTGCACTACCACACCCGGCTAGGAGGATATTTTAGAAAATATCTTGTTTTAGTTTTTAATAGACTCATGATCCAACTAGCATTGGCTCTGGTGTATAGTGTGAGCTAGAGATCAATTTTTTTCCTATGGATACTCAAGGCCTTGCAACATTTACTGAAATGACCTTGCTCCAGTGGACACTTTGTCACACATGAAGTCCATACATGCAGAGGTCTGTTCTGACTCTCTGTTCTGATCCACTGATTATTTTGCCTGTCGTTATACCCACACCACACTATCTTCATGACTTTAGTTTTACACTGAGTTCTGATGTCTAATACAGCAAGTTGTTCAACGTAGTTCTTATGATTACCTTGGCTACCCTGGGTCTTTTTTCCATAGTAATTTTATAATCATCCTACTCATTTCTACTTTTTAAAACCTATTTCTTCACTGGGATTGCATTAAATTTATAAATCAATTAATGGAAAATCAACAATGTTAAAATATTATTTCCATCTATGAATATCTACTTTTTAAAATAATATTTTAAAGGCCTCTGAAATCTTTCATTTATCCCTAAGTATTTTATTATTTTATGCTATTACAAATGTCATTTTCTTAATTTCTTTTTGTTGCAGATATACAGAAAGATGATTGTGTATATGTATGTGCATTTGTGTGTGTGTATGTGTGTGTATCCTACTGAGAATTGAACCTACAGCTTTCATACTGAGCTACATCCACAGTCATTTTTTATTTTTTATTGAGACAGGGTCTTGCTAAATTGATACATTGCCCAGCTTGACTTGAATTTGCAATCCTCCTGTGCAGTCTCCCAGAGTGCTGGGATTATACACATGTGCCATCACACCAGACTTTAACAACTGATTTTCTTCTTTTCAAGACAGGGTCTCCCTATGTAGTTCAGGCTGGCCTTGAACTCACTATGTAACCAAGCTGGCCTCAAACTCCCAGTGATCCTCCTGCTTCAGCCTCCTGAGTGCTGGGATTACAGCTGTACTCCACCACACCCAGCCTAACAATTAATTTTTATATACTTGTATCTAGCATACTTTTTAGATTACTTACAGTAATTAATAGTTTATCCATAGGTTGTCTTGGATTTTCTTAAGTACATGATATGTCATCTGCAGTCAAGGACAGCTTTATTTCTTTACTTGCAGCCTTTATTTCTTTCTATTTGTTTTCTTGGCTAAATGCACTGGCTTAATTCAGTACAGTGTTGAATAGAAGTAGTGATAGTGGACACCTTTGCTTTTTTCTTGATCCTGGATAGTAAACTTTTAGCATTTCACCATTAAATAGCATGTTTGGTTTATGTACACTCTTGTTTAAAATTTCAAGAACATATGACTAGATGCCAAATTTTATGAATGTTTTTCTGCATATACTGAGATGATCAAATGACTTTCTCCATTATCTTAGGAATGTGCCGAATTACATTTCTTATATGTTTAATTTTAAATCATCACTTTAGCTATATGTTTAATTGTAAACTTGGTAAGCTGGTATATATCCTTTGTCTAGGGTATTTCGATTGTAACATGTAGCCCCATTCTCTCACTCTGTCTGGTCTGTCTGTCTGCCTGTCTGTCTCTCTGTCTCTGTCTGGCTGTCTCTCTCTCTCTCTGTCTCTCTGTCTCTCTCTCTGTGTCTGTCTCTCTCTCTCTCTCTCTCTCTCTCTCTCTCTGTCTCCTCTTTCACCTCTTCCTCCTCCTGCAGAAGGAATCTCCTGGTCTTTCCCTTTCCCCACCTCTCAAGAGGTCATGCCTCTGCGAAACAGGCTGCAGACCACCTCATTACTTCTTGCCATACTAGCTTCCACTACCTCCTAGGACCAAGGGAGGAAAAATACAAGAACAAACATAATCTCTCACTAAGTCGTTCTACCTCAGTCTAACCCATCTTTTGGCATCCTGTTCTAACTATGATCCCAGCTGACTCCTCAGGTCTAGTCCCCCTGTTGAGATCCAGCTGAGCCCTCTGGCTGGTCTGTGGACCCTTCCACAGAGCTGCAGGAGTCCCAACCCCCTCCTCACCTCAGCCTTGGAGGGGAGCACAGAGTCAGCCCCCAGGGGTTTGGAGCTGCAGGGACTTTGGGGGACTTGGGGTGCAGGGGGGTTCTGAGTGCGTGGGTCTCCTCTGGGTGGAAGAGACTTCCTAACTCTAAAGATGCAGGAGAGGTGTCCTGGCAAAGCAGTAACAGAAATCAGACATTCCTTTTTGACTTTTGTATTCCTTGAAAGAAGGAGCCAGAGTTTAAAAGGAGGAGGGAAAATGCTGTCCAGAAGTAGATTTGTTGCTCTGGGAGCCTAGTGTCCTAGGATCTTGGTTCTCCAAAGCCTTTTCTGCCCCACCCCCTCCAGCCTGAGAATATAAGGCACCCAGGAAGCACCCTTGGCTAGCGGGTGGTGGGAGCTCAGGCTGTGTGTGTAGTTCCTGCAGGCTTTTCTCAGGACCAGTGAAGAGCAGAAAAGCTCTCTGGCCTGGATCCCTGCCCCTGGGGCTTTTCTGGGGGTTCCACCCACCTGTGAGCCTGGCTGCTGCAATACACCTACCCGCTCACCTAGAACCGAGTCTGCCTTCAGGTGGATAGGGGAGGATCCAGCACTTGTCGGGCTGACGCTGACTCAAGTCCAGCCAGCTTTGGCTTCTGTGGTGAAAGCTGGTTTTTCTGGGCCAGTCCCCAGGCTCTCCTTGGAACTGGGCCTAGAGGTTCACCTTGCCAAGACAAACTGTGGCTGCCAGTGGAATGTGGTGGGGTGGCAGCTAAGCAGGCCCAATCTGGCAGGCTGTCAACAGCACCCCGCTGAACCCCCCGCATGGAGTCCAGCAGATCCCCGGGGTCAGGCCAGGCCAGGAGCAGGTTCGAAGAATACCAAGCTTCTCTCTGTCCCACTGTTGAGTGACACAGGGGCAACCTCTCTTGTGGTCTTTCTGGAAAACCAGAAACTCATCACCAAGACTGAAGGTTGCCAGAATTTCTCCAAAGTCACTTCTTCCCCTGGGAGCAGCTCAGCAGCAGAAGGTGTTGGGAAAGGGAGTGTGAGGATGGGCATGTGCCTTTGTGTGTACAGGTCAGTGTGAGTGTGCAGAGAAGGTGCTCCGGCAAGGCCTCCTCTTCCCTGCACGCTGCCAGGAGGATGGGACCGCAGTGCCATTTGATGAACAATTTATTCAGCTTAAACCATAGAGGCCCATTCTCTTAGGAAGAATTCTCTGAAAGAGAGCCTGAAATGAGGACTTGAGTGCACATAAAGTGCTCTCTGGGGGCTGGGGATTTAGCTCAGCGACACAGCACCTGTCTGGCAAGCGCAAGGTCGTGAATTTGATTCCCGGTACTGGAAAAAAAAAACAAGAAAAAAAATCTTAAAAAAAAAGTGGGGACTGGGGATTTAGCTCAGCGGCACAGCACCTGCCTGGCAAGTGCGAGGTTGTGAGTTGAATTCCTGGTACCAGAAAGAAAAACAAAACAAAACAAAACAACAACCACAAAAAAAAGATTTTTTAAAAAAGTGCTCTCTGGAAGAGAAGGAGGGAAGGATGCAGGTCACGGAAGGGAAAAGAGCTAAGCAAGAATAAGGTCTCTGTGGGTGACAAGCATGGTCCAGCTCCTGGGTACAGCAGCTCCTATGTGGCCATGGGCAGTACTTGAGAAAAGGAGGCAGCTATGAGCTGTCAGTAGCCGGCACCTCCACAGCACAGGGATGGGCACACTGGCTGGGAAAGAGGATCTATGTGGGACACTCAGGGCCCCACTGTGCCCATCTACCTACTCCCTCCAAGACTAGGAGCTGGCCTGTCCATTTCAAGGCTTATAGGATGTTTTCTGGGCCATTAAAAAACAAAGAGCAGAGCTCTGCCTGGGGAGATAAATGAGGATGGGTAGAGCTCTGCAACAACATGGACATATGTAGCAGGTAGACCGCTGACTCAATGGTGGACACTGTTATGCAGACAGTGGTGGTGTCCACATCCGTACTGCTGACGCACAGCTCCCCAGTTGCTGCCATAGATATCTCTAAAAGCTGATCCACTCTCCTATACCTGAGCTTCTCCCACCCACCCCCTGCCTCCCAGATGACGTTCCCAAGGTAGGGTGAGGAGTGGCCATCTTGCTGTCCCTCTAATCTCTTTCCAAGATGA